TGGGGTGTGTCGCGTGGTCCTATTTCTCCTCCTCCTCTTTTTTTTTTTTTTTTTTTTTTTAAAGAAACAGGTATTTGTTTATTTAGGTTTTTGCCATAGGACACTTGCACTCACCAGAGAAGAGAGAGGGAAAGTAAGAAATCATCCCTAGGTGGAGAGGGAGTGGCCACGCCACAATCCCTTCTCCAGTCCCCTCTCAGGATTGTGGGCACACGTGCACACGCCCCAGGCATGAGTTTTAGCCACCAGGTCGGACTCAAGCCATGGCTTACCACGTGGGAATCCAGTGCCTTAACCACCACGCCACTTGCTGTCCCCCCCCGAGAGATTTTCAAGCATGCCACACCACTTTCCTCCCAGAGGTTCACACACAGTAGGTCTGGGCATATTTCACAGCTCCCGGAAGTTCAGATGGGCAAGCAGGACTGAGGGTCACTGCCCGCAGGTCATGGAGCAAAGCGAGCCTCCCGGGAGAGCCCCTCCCTCGGCCAGGCTGCTCTGTGGGCAGAGCTGAGCAGGCAATACTCCTGAGCTTGTGGGTGTCCATCACCCCATCCCGCGTGGGCATCCGTCTCCCCGTCACCACGTGAGTGTCTGTCACCCCGTCCCGTGTGGGCCGCTGTCACCCTGTCCCCACGTGGGTATCCGTCCCCGCATGGGCGTCCATTTCCCCATCCCCACGTGGGCGTCTGTCACCCCGTCCGCACGTAGGTGTCCGTCTCTCCATCCCCGCGTGGGCACCCGTCTCCCCGTCCCTGCGTGGGCGTCCGTCTCCCCGTCCCGCCGTGGGGAACATGCCTGGGTGATGGCTTTCTTCTAATGATTATCATGCAAGTCAATCAATTGAAATTGCCTAACGTTTCATTCTAGTCCTTTGAGGGATGCCCCAGTTGGTCACTTCTGGGCAGGGCAATGCCAGAGGTTTTATACTTTAGATCCCAGTGGCTTTTGCCCCCGGCCTGGTCCAGGCCTCCTCTCTCATGCTTTTGTGTGTCCCTCTGCAGACAATCGATCGAGCCAGCGGCAGTCTCCACCCATCAGCAAGACGCTGCCCAGTAAGCCCAGCTGGCCTTCGGCGAAGGCCAGGCTCACGTCCACCCTGCCTGCCCCCGCTTCTCTGCAGAGACCTCAAGTCCCACCCAAACCCAGAGACCTGCTTGAGGATGAGGTAAAGTAAATCTGTCCCGAAGACTTCCCAGGATACAGAGGGGTGGGGAGAGTGGCCCCGCTGGCCTGTGACAGGCCTGCTCCTCGATTGTCCCCTGAATGCGCCCCTGTGACACTGAAAGGGCTTTGTCTTCTCTAGCAGTAGCCTCTGTGGCCTCCTCGGCTTACACATTTTCATGACGAGACGTGTGCGGTGGGTAGCCTGTCAGCACTGACCCGGGCCCACTCGTCCCCCGGTTTCCCGTGACTTCTCTCTCCTCCTGAAGGCGTTCTTTCCGTTTCTTCCCTCCTCCTTGCTTCTGCGCCCGTCCTGCCTCACTGTCTTGCCTCCTTTCTCTCCGCGTCTCCGTTTCCTGTCCCAGGTGCAGGGGAGCGTGGCGGAGCACACCGTGGAGACGCCTGCCCCCTTGGGTTTGCGCCCGTGCGCCCAGCCTGTCACAGCGATGGCTGATAAAGCTAAGGTGCCAGGGCTCCCACAGGAACCTGCTTTTTAAACAAGGACGAAGACACGTCCTCAAAACAGCCCCTAGGGCAGCCCTGGAATGCCGCAGTCTAAGAAGCAAAGTAACACAGGACGACTCTGGCCCACACCCCGCCCTAATTGTAGCGCAGCTTCTCTGCGAGGTAACTTGTTTCCTAGTGCCCACGGGCCATAGGCACGGCGACAGGTGTGCCTTTCAGTGGCCTTCATGCCACCCTATGCTCATAGCCAAGGAGGTGAGAAAGAGGACGCTTACACAGAGGCAGCCCCCAGGCCCACATTCCTGCGCGGGTCCTTCTCACTGTGGGCTTTGGGGACCACGGGCAGCCTTCCCAGGCCGCTGTCCATCTCTTCGGGTGACGTGATGTGGGTGACTTCATAGCACACACGAGCAGCTCTAGAAACCAGGCCTGACACACACAAGCGGCCTCATCTCTGTGGCTTCCTTTCCACCATGCGCTTGTTTCTCTGCTAAACCCAGTTTCCTGGGCTTTCCTGGAAACTGAAGACCTGACAACACCGTCAGCTGTGGCCTGAGAACAGTGACACCTCATGGTGACCCGAGGCGTGGCCGCGTGTCCCTGGCCTCTTTCCCCTTGCCGTCGTTCCCGGCGCCCACAGTGCGCACCCACAGCCTGGCCTGAGTCGTCCCCACTCCAGCTACCTGCCACCCCTGCAGGCACGTCCGTTGATGCCCCTGCTCCAGGGACAGTCTCAGTTGGATGTCGGCGGTCTTGGCGGGGGTGAGGGGTGGGGGAGGTGGTTTGTCAGTCCTCAGTCTGTCCATCAATCCTTCGGGATGGGATGGGGAGACCAGCTGTCAGGGTCGCCCTGGAAATCCTTTCAGCATTGGGCAGACCCGTAGGAAGATATAAATTCAGGCAGAATGTAAGTGGATCCCGTGGTCTCCGTAAGGCTCTCCGTATCCCGTGAATTCCTGAGTGTGGACCCCACTGAGGCGACCTGTGGGAGAGACTCGGCAGGTCTGCACCAGCAGGAGGCGGAGAAGTAGGGAGGAGGCCGTGTTCTGGAGTGGCAGATGGAGACTCGAGATAAGAAAGAGGGTTGTTTCTTTTCTTAAAAAAAAAAGGCAGGCCAACATGACATGTGGCCGAGCCATTAGACGGGAAGAGGAGTCAAGAGTAAGTGTACATAAAAACGTGACTGCGTCCAGGGCACGGCTAGACGGGGGCGGGCAGACAGGAGCCGGGCGTCTGTGCCGCTGTGATAAGAGGCCGACGCTGGGTGCCCGCACAGCGGAGTGCAGAGGCGAGGTGGGACACACCGAGTGTCACCTCATTAACCCCCAAGGACTCCAGAAGGTACATACTGTCATGCTCCCTGTTTTATAGATAAGGGAGCCAAGGGGCAAAGGGGCTGCAGGTCACAGAGGTACCAAAATGGTGGAGCTGGCATTTGGGCCCAGAGAACGAGATGCTGGGACACGGCGCTGCGCGGTGGCCCTGCGCGGTGGCCCTGCGCCACCTCTCCAGCATTCACCGTGGAGACCAGCTCTTCTCCCACCCCAAGGTGCCGAGCGCCACGTGGTTCCAGGGCATGGACGGTGCCCAAAGGAGACCTAGTATCTGCCCCTGTCGAGCTTCTGCCATGTGACCCTCTGTGACCCTTTGGTTAATCAGTTTCTCACAAACCCCTCCTCTGTATAATCAGCATAAATATGCTACCTTACAGGGTAAAAATTCAATAAGTAATGTAAATAAAACTTTTAAATGATCACGAGTTGCAATAAGGAAGAAACTAATGTGGGCATTTAATAGCTAACCAGAATGACTCTCGGAAATAGGAGGGGGATGGGAAAAGGAAAATAAAAGGAGTCTGTGGCTCTCTTAGTTCTCAAATCCATAGTCTAGGGCGAGGCGAACACGTAAACGCCAACGGTAGTGTTTTAATACTGGATCGTCTCAGCATTAGAACAGGTCCGAGATGATTTTTAAAGTGATCATCTGTGACTTTGTGTGACACCACTGCGATAAGGGAAGAGTGTCCAACCCTGGAGGTCATGTTAGGCTAAGCTGCCTCGCTTCCGGTGATCCTCGCTGACGTCACTCAGAGAGCAAGAAATGGACGTCTGCAGAAACTTCTACAGGATGGGCGTGGCCGCGTTGTCCATAACAATCAAAATGGAAACCGCCCAGGTATCCATCACCTGATGAACGCATCGACTAAACGTCTATCATAAGGTGGAATATTACCCGGCCATGAAGAATAGCCATGGTGGGAACCAGCAGTTGGCGTAATGGCTATGTCGCTGGACTCCCACGTAGTCGACCACGGTTCACGTCCCGGACCCTGTGGCTTAGAACTCACGTCGGGCGCGTGTGCGGGCGTGCCCACGATCCTGAGAGGAGAATGGAGGAGAAGGGATTGTGGCATGACCATCCCCCCCGGGGGGTGATTTCTCACTTTCTGTCTCTCTGTCTCTCTCTGTCTGTCTGGTGAGTGCACGTGCCCTATAGTGAAAACCTCTCCAAAAAAAAAAAAAGAATAGCCGTGGTGCGTACCACAACACGGAGGAGCCTGGGGACGGCGCGCCAAGTGAGAGGGCAGGGAAGCCTTCACGCCGTGTAATCCCATTATGTGCACTGTCCAGAGTGGGCAGAGCTGCAGAGGCAGGATAGATCAGTGGTTGGCCAGGCCAGCAGAGGGCTGATGGGCCATGATTAGTGGGTGCGAAATTTCCTTTTTGGAGTTGACGAAAATAGCCTACAATTAGATGATGATGTTTGCACAACTCTGAACATACTAAAAACCACCAAATGGTACTTCACATGGAATTTTACGGTATGAGAACTGTATCTCAATAAAGCTTTTTTTAAAAAAAAATTTGCTCTGGGAACCAGCAGTTAGTTTAATGGCTATGTCGCTGGACTCCCATGTAGTCAACCAAGGTTCGAGTCCCAGACCCGGTGGCTTAAAACTCATGTCAGGCACGTGTGCGTGCGTGCCCAAGATCCCGAGAGGAGAACGAAGGAGAAGGGATTGTGCCGTGACCATCCCCCCCGGAGGGTGCTTTCTCGCTTTCTGTCTCTCTGTCTCTCTCTGTCTGTCTGGCAAGCACATGTGCTCTATGGCAAAAACCTCTCCAAAAAAAAAAATTGCTCTGTCTTTTCCAGCAAACCAGGAGTGTACGGCATTCTCCTCATTCATGTCTGCCTTTCTTTTAGGCTGATTATGTAGTTCCTGTGGAAGATAATGATGAAAACTATATCCATCCCACAGAAAGCAGTCCACCCAAGTCTGAAAAAGGTAAAATAGTCTGTAGTTTTAAGTACCTGGCAACCTTTTTCCTTAATATTTACTTAATTTTATTTATTTTTTAAATAATTCTTTTGTTTACTCTATTTATTTATTTATTCATTTGTATATTTCAGTTTGACCAGAGAGGGATAGAATGAGAGAGAGAGAGAGAGAAAGTGAGCGAGCAAGCAAGCCACCAGGTCTGGAACTCCAACCGTAGTTGGCCATGTGGGGGTCCAGCACCTTTAACCACCACGCCACCTGCCGGCCCTAATTTTATTTATTAATTCAACCAGAGCAAGAGAGAGAGCGGGAAAAGTGAGAAATCAAGCCACCACGTCAGGGACTTGAACCACATTCAGCCATGTGGAAATCCAGCGCCCCAATCACCACGCCAGGCAACTTCTAGCAGTTAGTTGGGACATACAGAACTATTCAGTAGTCAGCACGTCGAAAACATAGAAAAGCAGTCTGTCAGAGCCCAGAAGTGGCAGCGGCCAGGCCTCTCTCCCGGCTGGTGGAGCGGAGGCCCGGTGAGCAAGCCGCCCCGTGTCTCCTGGCCCTCCCTGGCCCCTCCCTCCTCTGCCGTGATGTGATACTCCGTCTCCTAGGACCAAAACGCCCGGGTGATCATCCCCAGCTGCCCTCACTTAGAGCGGACTGCTCACCAAAACTAATGCAAAGTCACAAGCCACTGCGCGGGCCGTAGCAATGTCACACCGAGAAGTTTCTGTAGGAGGCTGAAAGAAATGAAAGACCCAGCCCCACGTGTCCCTGGGTTCTCTAAACTTACTAGCGTCTCTGGCCTGTGGAAAACATCTCATTAAGCACCCCTCACGGCATCCAACTACTTTCACAAGTGAGTGACTGGAAAAGCCAGAGCTGCACGCCCCGATCAGGTGCAGGCACAGGCACATTGCACGCCGACTCTGGCTGTAGTCACATGGGGGTCACAGTCCCATGGAAGGGGCGCCTCTTCAGGTAACATTGCGCACCTGCTAAAGCCGGCCCCCAGATGGCGGTGCCATGTTTACTCCGCCACCTTGCGGCAGCCTTCTTCGGTTCCCAAGTATCACCAATAGCTTTGAGATCCATGGTAATTCCCATGACCATGAAAGAATTCATCTATATTCCCTCCTCATCCCCCCCAAACCTCACAAAACCCAAGAGCAATTACGGGTGTTACATGTGGCAGGGGAGGTGGAGTACTGACTGGTTTGACCTGTCTACTATGGCCTTCAATATACTTCTGATAAAAATACGTAAATAGACAAAAACAAATGAACAAAAAACTTTTTCATCTCCAAGAGCTCCAGTTTGGCAAATGAAATGACAAGCTAGTATTCACTTTAACAAAATCCCTATTGGGACCATTAGTTGGTGTGGGGTTAAGGTGCTGGCCTCCCACATGGCCGACTGAGGTTCAAGTCCTACACCCGTCGGCTTGATAATTATGCCAGGTGCATGTGCATGCATGCCTAAAATCCTGAGAGGAGGAAGGAGAAGGAATTGGGGAGTGACTGTCCCCCTGGGGGTGATTTCTCTCTCTCTGTCTGTCTCTCTTTCTAGTAAGCACATAAGCCCTATGGCAGAAACCTTGGGGGGAGAGTCCTATTATAAAATAATTAGATTATTAATTTATCATAAACATGTCCGTTCTAAAGCTGTCTCTTCTGAGAAGGCTTTTTGAATGGTTTGTGTGTTTGATCAATGTGGCTCCCATTCTTTGTAAATTCTTTGGTCTGACCCACCATTTTTTTTTTTTTTGGGGAGAGATTTTCACTGTAGGGTGCGTGCGCTCGCCAGACAGAGAGAGACATAGAGACAGAAAGCGAGAAATCACCCCCCAGGGGGGATGGTCACGCCGCAATCCCTTCTCCATTCTCCTCTCGGGATCTTGGGCACGCACGCACACGCGCCTGGCGTGAGTTTTAAGCCACCAGGTCCGGGACACGAACCGCGGTCGACTACGTGGGAGTCCAGCGACATAGCCATTACGCTAACTGCTGGTTCCCCCATTTTTTCTTAAGTACGAACTCCCTTGTGGAACGTGTGTGCTCATTATGTATCTTTGTGTTTAAGCTCCCACGGTGAATAGATCGACCAAGCCCAACAACCCCTCCAAGCTGGCCTCTCCTCCAGGGACAACCTCAGGTACAGTGTTATGTGTGACTAAGTCTGGCTTAACCTATTCCAACTAGGATCAAATATGAAAAATCAGTTGTATTTCCAAATGCCTTAATGAGTGGGCATAAAAAGCCTGTCCTGTCCCCACCCTCACCCACTGTCTGGTGGCAGCTATCTTGGAGGGACCTTCATCCCCATGCCCTCCAACCTCTGCTAGATGAGTCCTGACTTCCACCTTCCTTGCTGGGACGTTGCTGGCTCCCCCGCCCCACCCCTCCCCTCCCCTGACTAAAGACGTTCCCAGGGTTCGGCCCTCAGCCCTCAGTTCTTCCTTGGTCTTGGTGGTTCAGGGATTAGACTCTGAGTCAAACGGTCCTGGGCTGGAACCCCAGGGCTCCCAGTCACCTTGGGCTTGGACTTGGCCATGACGCAGAATTCTGACACCGCGAATTACGGTACGATCGAGTCCTAACGTGGGAGGCTGGGGAGACTTCTGAACCACAGCCCTCTCTTTTACTATTGCCGTTGCTCTGTGGTACATCTCCCTCTGCCACATTCCCAGTTTCTGTCTGCGAATGTTCCTACCAAGAACTCAAGTTTTTGGGAGCCAGCAGGTGGCATGGTGGCTAAGGTATTGGACTCCCACATGGCCAACTACAGTTTGCGTCCTGGACCCGGTGTCTTGCTTTCCCACTTTCTCTTTCTCTCTCCGTCTCTGGTGAGCGCACATGCCCTACAGCAAATTTTAAAAAATAATTAATAATAATAAATAAAATTAAATAATTCTAAAGGAAAAAAAAAAGAACTCAGCTTTTCTAGAAAGTAGAGGTCCTGGCAGTGGGAGGAGGGCACTGGGCATGCCCCTGCTAGAGTCGTCCTGCGCGACCATGCCCCCGGCTGGCTTTGGCCCCGAGCAGCAGGAAGCAGGTCACTGGCCCGTGAAGAGAGGGGTCCTCTCCTCCCCGCCATGGGCAGCACGAAAGCATCCCTCTGCCTGCTTACCTCGCCTCACTAAGGGAGAAGCAGGGAGTAACCTGGCGCTGCAGATCCTACCCCAAAACAGACTGTTTCTCCCCTTTCCCCAAACCTTCCATCAAAATCTAGGAGTAGCCAGGGGTGTTCTTTTTTCTAAGGAGTGATTTAATTTTATTTATTATTATTATATTTTAATTTGCTATTGGGCACACATGCTCACCAGAGAGAGAGGGGGGGACCATGAGAAAGCAAGCTACCAGGTCCAGGACTTGAACTGCTGTCAGCCACGGGGAGTCCAGTGCCTTAACCACCATGCCACCTGCTAGCGCCAACCATGGTACTTTACCACTGTAGTGTCCGGTTTGTACACTAGCTACTTAAACACAGTGGGGCTCACACCACATAGTCAGAGGACATCTCCGTTTATCGTGAAGTGTAAAAATTCCAAATGTGTGGCCTCCTCCAAAATTCAAAAAAATCACCCCGGGGCAGGCCGTACAGGAGCCGGAGCTACACTGGAGGAGATGCTGCATGCATCCTGAGGTGCCCGGAGGGCCACTAAGGCCACGATGGGGAGTCGGCACTGCTGCTATTGCCCTTGTTCGCAAACTTGAAGGGAAAGTGGCCCCAGCAAGGACTGCGTGCAGGGCAGAGTTGGGCGGACTGAGGGAATGCCTGGGGGCTTCTTTCTAATCTGCACAATCTCTGCTTTTAACTCTTTGGGGGCCTTTTTTGTCTGGGGTTGGATGAGGGGTTGACGGGGTACACAGCCTTCCCTGTGGTCCACGCCAAGGCCTAGGCCGATGCCGTCGCCCCTCCCTGCCCCCCACACACCACTCGCCAGCCGCTCTGGTGACTGGCTGTCACTTCCACGTCCCTGTGTGCTCTGTCTCACCAACCGCAATGACCCCGCTGGGGCAGAGATCCAGCCACACTTACCAAGTGGCGTCTTTGAGTCCGGGGAGCCACAGACTTTAAATGTGTGGAGGTCCATAATAAACCTTTTATTCGGTTCAGTTTAATTCAGCAAATGGTCTCAGCAGTAACGGCCAAGCAGGAGTGCACCTGCCTGGGAGAGGCAGCAGGAGGGGCAGAGGGACGGCTCCAGCCTCCCCCTCCAGCCCTGCCTTACCCCAGCAGTAAAGATGGAGCCTGCCTGCCCCTCCCTCCCTCGCCATGACTGTCTGGCGTCTGTATTTGGGTAGGGAAGAGAAGCTTGGGTGCAGGAGACGCGACCTTCTGGGTCTTTCTTAGGAGTTCAGATGAGTTTGGGGTAGTGGCCTGACACTTGTCCCCAAAGCCTGGGCCCTCGGAGATGACGGGCGAGCAGCCCAGGTGTGAAGTTAGGTGCGTGCACTGTATCCACGTGGGTCTGAACAAGCAATGTCTACAGGTGTGGACCAGGAGGCGTGGGTTTGGCCTCTCTGTCTCGAGCCTCCTCTGGTGTGCCCAGGGAGCGTGGCACGCTCATGAGGTGCAAGGGCGAGCTCGTGGCCCTCTGTCAAAGAACGCTGAGGGGCTCTCACTGACCCCTCAGTCCTGAGGGCTCCTGGCCTTGTCCTACAGGGGAAAGGACAAGGAACTTCGGAAGCGTTAAGGTGGAGCCCCTACCCACTTTCTCGTTCTGAGCTCACGCGGACATTTTTTGAGCGTGCACCCCCTTTGCCCATAGGTTTTCCCAATATCTCCAGTGTAACTACCTATGTGAGCTGGCCTCAAAGCTACGCAAAACGTGCGTGCCTTTCTGAGCCTTCCAGGAAGGCCAGCGTCACTGTGGCCATCAGCCCAGGCTCAGGACTGGGGACTGACCCAGGAATGTGCTTGTGCAGGTCGGAACAGCGGGACCTGGGAGTCCAAGCCGCCGTCGTTGGCCGCCGCGCCATCCCCACTGCCAAGGGCCGGGTGAGTACCTGCTGCGGGGGTGGCCTCGTGAGGCCTGAGCAGACAGGTCGGAGAGGCTGCCCTGTGGACTCCGACTAGAAGTCCTCCCCTCCTCCCCCAGCGTGCCGCAAGTTGGACTGAGGCTTGGGTGGGGGGCTGCTGAGAACGGGAACTAGCGAGGAGTCTTTCCCCCGGAGTCTCGGTTAACTCTGGAGTCCGTGGACTTACAGCGTTCCACAAGGCGCACCTGCTTTCAGAAGCACCTGAATAATCTCGAGACCTCTAGCACAGCTGTCCCCAACCTTTACAGCATTACAGCACCAGGGGACAGTCTCATGGGAGACAGTTTTTCCCCGGAAGGCGGGGGGCCGGGGGTGGATGGTTTATGAAACATGTGACCTTGATCCCTCAAGGGTGCCTTTCACAGTAGGGGTAACACCCCGTGAGAATCTCATGCTGCTGCTGATCCGACAGGAGGCAGGGTGCAGGCCAGAATGGGGAGCAGCTATAAACACCTGAGGCTTCGCCCGCACGACTGCAGGCCGCTCACCAGCTGCACAGCCCTGTTCCCGACAGGCCCAGGGGCTGCGACCCTACTCTAGGGGCTTCATCTTTGCTTCCTACTCCTCAGCTTCTCCGTCCGGGAGCTGATGGTCTGGAACTGCACACACATGCCATTTGCAGCATGCAATGGGTGCTCAGAGCACCACTCTGGCCACGTAACTGTGATGTGCTATGGGGCAATCCCACGTGGGACGTTCGTGGTTCCAGTCTGGGGGCCCCCTGAGTGCACTGGCACGTGCTTGCTCATGTCCTGAGGCTGACTGAAGGCTGGGCATGGGCTGTGATGTCAAGATTCTATTGGGGATGCCGTTTCTCTGTCTCTCTCACTCACAGAAGAAATAAGTTGCAAAACCAAAAAGCAACACTGCTAACATTCCTTTAAAAAGAGTCCTAGAAAGAGTCCTTTCTTACCAAATTAAAAAGGACTTTGTAAACGGTCAGGTGAGTATTGTAATGTGTTCATATGAAAAACACTGGGACCAGCAGTTAGCGTAATCGCTATGTCGCTGAACTCCCATGTAGTCAACCGCAGTTCGAGTCCCGGACCCGGTGGCGTAAACTCACGCTGGGTGCATGTGTGTGTGTGCCCAAGATCCCTAGAGGAGAATGGAGGAGAAGGGATTGCGGTGTGGCCATCCCCCCGGGGGGTGATTTCTCACTTTCTATCTCTCTGTCTATCTCTGTCCCTTCTGGCGAGCGCATGCGCCCTATAGCAAAAAACCTCTTCAAAAGAAAAAAAAAAAAAAAAAGAAAGAAAAACAAAGAGTCCATAAAATTTTGTTGGCTCAATAAGTTATCTTAAAAGTGCACGTAAATATGTCTTAAACTGGCCTGCATGGTGACAGGCTCAATCTTGCCACTGTATATACCAGAGAAAGTCTTCATTTGGGGGATTTATTAACCAAAACTCTGCCTACTTCTCTCTTGGCCCCATTTAATCACTTCTTACCCTCTCTGAGCCACAACTTACTCATCTTTAAAAGCGTAATCATAGATGTTATGAATAACCATAACATCCATTTTTAAAGATCACTATAAGGGGGCTAGCAGGTGGTGTGGTGGTTAAGGTGCTGGACTCCCACATGGTCTACCAAGGTTCGAGTCCTAGACCTAGCAGCTTGCTTTTCCACTTCCTCTGTGTGTGTGTGTGTGTGTGTGTGTGTGTGTGTGTCTGTGTGTGTCTGTGTGTGTCTGTGTGTGCCTGGTAAGTACACAGGCCCTATAGAAAATGTAATAATAATAATAATGATAAAGAAAGTTAACTAACCGTAAGTGAAAGGTCACTGCAGGGTTTACCTACCTGTGAAGAGTCTAACTCAGTGCCGGGTCCTTACAAGCCCTCGGCAGTTGCTGGTACTCTTTCTCTGTACTTCAGCTCTTAGCCAAAGACAAAGGGTGCGACTGAGAGGGAGGAGAGGCGGAAAGTTAAGTCAGCCTAGAAGAGAAGCATAAACTTAGCGACATGAGGTCCCAGTCTCTGTCAGAACCAAGACACACTGGAATGTTCGTGCCGGCAAGCACCTTCAGGACCGCACGCCACGGCAGTTCTCGAGCTGGTTTGGGGCTTGGGCCTCTCTGTCTGAGTGAAAGCCTGTGCAGAAGTCGAGCAGAAAACGGTCCTCTAGAAACAGGCGGAGGCTCTCCTGGGGAGGTGCTGCCTCCAGCCTCCCTGCTGGGCTGCCGTCTCATGCTACCCTCCGATAGCCCTGGGTGCTGCTGGGGAAGGGGCGCTCCGCCATACACTTGGAAAACACGGGGTCTGGCTCTCATTTTATATAAGTTATCATTTTTATTGCATTTATTAATTAATGCAATAAATTATTAAATGCAATAAATTATTAATTATTTATTTATTAATTTATTAATTTACAGAGGGCACTTACGCTTTCCAGAAAAAGAAAGAGAGAACCCCCTCACTGAGCTGTGGTCGGGCCATAGCCCTTTGCCCTCCATTTCTCCTTCCTGTCAGGGTTACGGGCACGCACACACATGCACACGGCGTGTATTTCAAGCCACCAGGGCTGGGACTCAAATTGCAATTGGCCGTGTATAGCCTGGCTCTCTTAGCAAAGCTATGGGGCCGGCATGGCCATTGTTTGTTTGCTTTTTTTTAAAGATTTTTGCCATAGAGCATGTGCACTAGCCAGAGACAGACAGAGGGACAGTGAGAGGGAAAGTGAGAAGTCACCCCCTACGGGGGAATGGCCACACTGCAGTCCCTTCTCCTCCACTGTGCCCCTGGGATTTGGGGCACGCGCACACACGCGCCTGGTGTGAATCTTAAGCCACCAGAAATGGTACTGAAAAGGCAGCCTGCCCGGTGGGAGTCCAGCACCTTAACCACCTGCTGGTTCTGGCCTGGTTGTTTTTAGTTTACACATAACGGTGCGGTGCGTAGTGTGGTAGACGAGGAGGTTTTCCAAAGCACATCCGCCACCTGCACCGATGGGCTCTAGGCCGTCTCCCATGTCCCTCCGCACAGCTGTGCACGTTCAGGTCTGCCCTGCTGGTGGTTTCAAAGTTTATATCGAACTGTCCCCACCTGCCCTCTGCTGTGCTGTAGTACCTGGTCCTCATTTCACAGGTGTGGACACAAAACTCACACTTGCCTCACAGCCGTCCAGGGCCCCCGGTCACAAGTAATTAGCAGAATGGGAACAAGAGCTCAGTTCCGCGGGCCGCCTAGCAACGGGTGCGCCTGCTTATCCCCGCTAACCCCGCCCACCTGCCAGTGGGCTCCATCTGGACTTCGGAGGGCCACCACCAAATCCCACTTCCATCCGTCCCACCCTTCAGCGGTAGTCCTCCCACACTCGTCTCACTTTCATCATTCGGGTTTAAATTTGAGAGTAAAATGATAGATAGCTCCGCTGTATCTTCGCAGTGTTTTAACAAAGCTAATCTCTTTCTTATTCCCCAGGAAAAAAACAGCTACTCCACTGAAGACAGTAAGTTCATCTTGCATTTAAAAGGGCTTCATGTTTCCTGCAATGTTTGAAAGTGGAAAGTGCTTCCAGCAAGCCTAGCAATGGGAGACGGTCCCAGAGGAATTTAGAGTCTGCCTGCCTGACCTCTGGCTTTGCTGAGCCCCCTTCTTCTCCCCACCTCACCCCCCCCACCATCCCCCATCTCAGAGCTAACGGCAGACCACTGGGTGTGAGGCACACACAACTGGCTGTACTGATTCTAGCCAGAACCCAGTGAACCTGGGCCACCCGACTGTGCCAGGACTCCCACGGGACCTGGGGCCTACTCTGGAGCCTGACATTTCCAGACACTTAAACTTGAGGCCGTGAGACCAAAGCCAGAGGCCGAGGGCCACCACTCAAACTCTCTTGCCCAGCAGTTGCTGGGGGTCACGAAGTCCATCCCTTGATAGAGCAGGGAGGTCCCCACACCAAGATGATGTCACGTAATACAAATGTGTAGCTGGGCACCGTGCACTTTTAATTGTTGTTGCTGGGACTAGCTTGGCCTGAACACGTTTTTCTGAGTAGAGGAGGCTGTGGATTAGAAATAGACGCAATAGCAAACACACAAAGACACACAGGTATAGAAAAGCGAGGATGGGTGGGCACAGCTGCTCCGATGGAGAGGTTGTGACCACAACCAGCCTCAGGTTTATTCTTTTAAAGGACAGAAAATGGGGGAAGGGGAAAATGGGATGTAAAAGGAATGGGGCAGAAGGGATGGGATGCAAAGAGAATAAGGGAGGAGAAATTAGAATGTAAAGCCAGTTGTTTTGGGATGTAAATCCTTTTAAGATGTGAAAATGACTGGCACCATGTAATTTCTCTGATTTTTTTTTTTTTGGGGGGGGACAATCTGATAAACGCATGTGACTCCCTTTAGCCTGATACTGGGCACTATCGAGGTATTAGGTATCAACAACAACAGGGAGACAGCCACTGACAACAGGCAGATTCTGCTTTTGTGTGTAGATGCTTCTCACAGCCCTGCTAGAGTAGCTCACGGAAGCGCATATCTGCATGTGTCCACAGGCCACAGGTTTTCATCACGTGTTTTCGGACTGGCTGCTCTCCACATATCCCTGTTTTTCTTTTTCTAATTTGAGTCTGTTTTTCTTTTTCTAATTTGAGTGGGATGGCTGTAAAAATGACTGGCGCCATATAAATTCTCTAATTTGGGGGAAAACAATTTAATAAACGCATGTGACTTCCTTCAGCCCAATACTGGGCAGTATTAGAGTGCTGAATGTCAACAACAACAAAAAAACAACCACTGACAACAAACACTGCTTTCAGATGTAAGTACTTCTCAATAGCCCTACTAAAGTAGCTTACAAAAACGTGCTTCTACATGTGTCTACAGACCACACGTTTTAATCACATGCTTTCAAATGAACTGCTCTCCACAGATGTGATTGGAAGAATAGCCATGCGTCTAGGGAAAGGGCTTCAGAAATAGCTACTGTGATGCCGCTGCTCTGACCTTGACCTCCACACGCTAGCACAGTAAATAGCCTCCGTGTCTTTGTTTCTAGACCCCGGCTGCCTCCCAGCAGAACGCATCGAGTGTCTGTGAAGGTAACTGTCACTTGGAAGGGTGAGCATGTCCATCCGAATAGAGAATGTATCTAAACTCGTATACAAGTAGAGTTCTAAGTGTCTTTCATTACTTATAAGGCAAACGTCAGTATGAGACAGTTGGCATGCTGGGTGAGGCACCAGATTCCCAGATGGCCGACCACAAATTCCCAGACCCAGTGGCTTGAAAATCATGCCAGGCGTGGGTGCCCAAACTCCAGAGAGGAGAATGGAGGAGAAGGATTATGGCGTGGCCATCCCCCCTCCAGGGTGATTTCTTGCTTTCCATCTCTCTGTCTCTCTCCAACAAGCACATGTGCCCTATGGCAAAAATCTAAAAAGAAAAAAAAAAAAAAAAAGAAACAGTGCTCTAACAAAACAATTTTTCATTTCACAATGAGTAGTGGGTGGCGAGGCTAGCTCAGAACCTGAGCTTACCAGGTAAGGTCTGTGAAGTTGGCTACTTGTCAAAAATCTGCCTGCCTGCAGACAGGTGTGACATACTAGGACACAGTGCCGTGGCCCTACCTAAATGCAAAGGCTGATTTAGAACCATTCACATATCTTAGAATAGTTTAGTTAAGGTAATGAAATTTTTAAACATCTGTTTATTTGAACGTATGCTTTTGCTAAGCTTTCAAAATAATGTTTTCAAATGTCCCAAATAATGTTTCAGATTTTTAACCGTCTGTATTCTTAGGATATCCTTAAATGCCTTTCTTCTTTTTATTGTAACTCAAAACTTTATATATTTTTAGAGCTTTTCCATTTAAGAAAAAGTATTCATATTTGAAAAATATTGCAGGACAAAAAGGAAAGAAGTAACAACCATCTAATACAATGTCAACACTTGAAACTTTAAGGGTGCTGGACTCCGATGTGGCCAACCACAGTTCGAGTCCTGGACCTGGCAGCTTATTTTCTCACTTCTATTCTCTCTCTCTGGTGAACACATGTGCCCCATTGCAAAAAGTTTAAAATAATAATCATAGTAATAAATAAAATTAAATAAATAATTCTTAAGAAAAGAAGTTCAGGTCCACTCATCCAGTTCCACACTTGGAGATACCCCGTGTTACAACCCGAGCATGTGTTAGTGCGTGTCCTCTCACCTCGTGAGTTAGCTCAGCAGACCCACCCCAGGTGCGCTTTCTCTGACCTGGGTGTGGGTGAGCACTAAGCTCACTCCGTTAGGGTTTTCTTTCCATCTGATTCCTCACATCTTCCCCAGGCCATTTCTGAAGCATTGTTTCTTTCCTGCTGTCTTGCTTCCGTCTGCTTTTCCTCCATACTTGCATCTTCCTGTCCTCCCATTCCTTCCACCCTTGTGCTCACAGCAGGGGACACAGAGTGATGGGGGGGAAGGCTCAGGGCCGCAGAACCTCTGTGAGAAGGAAGCACGACCCTGTGCAAACTTGACGGATTCGGGAGCCTCCAAAAGCCAGGAGAGAGGGGGCTGCCGGCCCCTGCTACGAGTGTCTCCTCAGAGGGCTTCCTACACTGAGGCCCTTCCGTTACTCTCTTCCAGAGCAGAGGCAGTGGCCGTCCCAACTCAGATGTGGGAGGGAATTCTCACCTATGAGGGAGGCCTCGGAGTGGCAGGGGTTGGGACCCATGTGTTCACTGTTGCTCTCTCAAAAATGCAGTGTGAAGTCATGAGCCAAACATCTGCCATGGCAGCTCAGAGTAACTCGCAACAATTTGAAACACCATCTTCATAGGTTCAAGGCTTCCAAAACTTCAGTGAGCCATGAGAAACCTTGATGCCTGTCTTACACTTTATTTGAATCTTGGAATTCTTTGTTCCATTTGGGTTCCTCTAATTCTCAACCATTCTCCAAGCTGGAGACTCACCCATGGACAAATCTAGATTTTAACACATGTCCAGATCACATATAAGGGGGAATAAAGCATGAAGTTGGTGATAATATTTCTTTAGTTATTTTAGTTTGCCAGCAGGCACATGCACTCTCTCCTCGGAGTTTTGGACACACATACACATATGCCCAGCATGTTTCCCAAGCCACCGGGTCCGGGACTTGAACCATGCAATTGGCCATGTGGGATCCAGTTCATATAACCAACAGGCTGTGGCCGGCCTCGAGCACACTGATGAATGGCTCAACAGTGAGGGGGCCCATGGGCTCCGAGTAAATTCCTTGTACTGCAGGTTTATGCCCAGGTAGTAAAATGCTACTGAGCTTAGCTTTATTCTAGGGATAACCTTGACTTTGATCCGGTCGATTTCCAGAAAGAGTAGATGGCAGGAGCTGGTGGTTTACTCTTCCGGGTATCAAATGACTAGCGCATCTCACGACTAACCCAGACCCAGCAGGGCGCTGTGCCCGTGTGGAAGCTACAAGGAAAGCAGAGGGGATGAGTTTTCAGAAGGTGCCTAAAACTTGCTCATCTGGCTCCCCCTGTACTCATGCACTCGAGGGGTCCCCGGGTGCATGGCCAGGGGTGAGGACAGGCGTGGTGGGGTGTCCTGGCATAATCAGCACGAGCACAGCCTAAAGAGGGACAGGAGCACAGACCAGTGCGCAGTGACATCCTGGTGACAGACACCCCTTAGGAGACGTCTGACCAGATTCGGTTCTAAGCCGACGTTCCTGGGTTCGGGGATGGGATGACATTTACACTAATCCTAGTATCGTAACTGTCCTAATCCAGAAAAGCCGATACCCGCTGAACGCCACCGAGGGTCCAGTCACAGACAAGAAGCTGTGCAGTCATCAGTGCTCCCTCCTGCCCAGAAGTAAGAATTCTTTCTTTAAAAATACATTTTGTCTTGTTGCCACAGGGATAAGCACATGCATCACGTCATGCAGGGACTGGGGCTTGCAGTGCTTGGTAAAGACCCAGCGTTTCAATGCTTGGCAGTTACATTTGAAAAGATGCTCAGCACCCTCCAAGGAACTGGGTTGAATTGCAGGTTGATTATGGACGCAGCTAAAATCCAACACCTTAGTTAAGGCTCTTCTGTTTTAAGGGAACAGTCTTACTTTAAGGATCGGGTGCCTCTTCTTCCTTCAGGCATGTTTTATTGTCAGCCATGTTGACCCCTTCGTGACGAGCTTGTTCAAAGCAGCTGCAGTGTAAAAAGTCAGACTTACGCGTTTTCTTATATCATGCTTTGCCCTTTATTTGATATGAAATTCTTTCTTTCAGACAAATCCATCAAAAGCCCATACCTCTGCCAAGTAAGTACAGTGACGTCATGGAGAGGATGCCAGGTGGGGGTAAGGCTGGGTCTCGGTGTCTCACGGCTCTGCGTCCTCAGATAACACCGGCACTTCCAGCCGCGTGCTCTAAGAATCCTTTCTTACTGTTTCTTCATCTGTAAAATGGGGCCAAGAATATTCCATAGAGTTGTTTTGAGAGACAATTTTTACCTTTTGTTGTTGTTGTTGTTCTCCAAACAATTTAGCTCTTTCCAAAACAAGATTAAGTGAAATCATATACGAGAAGTACCCATCATAGCGCTTGGTACATAGAAGCATCTCAATTGACGTAGCTCTTTAAATTAAATCTAAAATGTTACCCATTATAATCGTCATAAATTGTATCTGCAACTTATGACCAATCTTCCACGTGCGGGAACTGTTCTAGGCCCAGGGTGAATAAAACAAGTAAAGATCCTATCCTCATGAAGCTTATATTCTAGTAAAGGAAACAGAAAGAAAAAGTGAACACATAACCTAACGCTAGGCAGATGCTAAAGGGCAAGGTGGTGGGGCCGGGTAGCAGATAGTGCCGGGGGCCGCGGAAGCTGCTCATGCAGATGGGACAGTCTGGGAGGGCCTCACCTGGAAAACAGCTCCTCCCACGGAGAGCCAGCGTGAGAGCAAAATGAGCGAACGTGTTGCAGACAGAACACGCCTTACACATGCTCAGGACCCAGAAACCACCAGCACCTGCGGGGTGCACCAGGGCGAGGCTGGCCACCCTCACCTTTGCAGACCCCACGTGGAGCGCCGTCCCTGGCTGCTGGAGCACAGCCCTCCTGGGGCCAGGTGGCCGCCCTCTCGGCACACCCAGGGCACTGGCATCTGAGGCAGAGTTACCCAACGCTGTTTCTCCTGCAGATGGCCCTGTCTTGATAAAGGACAGCTCTGGCTCCTCTGGTCAGAAACCGAGGGTCACGCTGACTCACACTTGCTTTCTTCATGCACCTTCCAGCTGGCCCTTCAAAGTCTATCAGAATCCAGACACTCACTTCTTTGTCGCTGTGATCTAAGCCACTAGCGTTTCCTCCAAGACACCAACCTGGCCTCCCCTGTCTAGCCTGGCCCTCTTCTTCTTCCAGCCCACAAGAGTGACCTCTTAAAAGACAGCAGAGCATGTTTTCCCTCTGTTCCAAACCCTGCAAAAGCTCCCCTTATCATGCTCCTTCACACCCCCGTCATGGCAAGGCTCCTCCGGGCACTATAAACCCGGCCCCCTTGTGCATCTCTTCACCTCGCCACTCCTCAGAGATGCTGGCCTGCACTCACTGCCCCTCTACGAGGAACCCTGTCCCGAGATGTCCACATGTCCCCTCCCCGCCTTCCGCAGACCTCACCTAGGAGCCCTGGGTGAGGCGCTCCTCACCTGCTTTTTCTCCATAGCATTTGTGCCTTTCTAACATTCTGTATATATTTATTGTCTTCATTGCCTGTCTCAGCGCACTGAAATTTAAGCTCCAGGAGGGAAGGCTGTGTCATGGTTTTGTTGACCACGCTACCCCCAAGGCCTTGATCCATGGGAGGCACACAAGAATGAATGAATGAATACAGCCGAGTGTCTTCCCACTTCCTGTGGATCGATGTTTAGGCTGTAAACTCCTTGAGAGAATTTAAGCCTTCAGACGACAATACTCAAACATTTCGGTCTGCCAACCACTGTAACACCTGTCTGTAATCAATGCAGACCGAAGAGCTTTGGTTTTCATGTTTCTTCCAGTTAATATTCTGTGTATTAAAACAGAGGGCTTGGGTCTCCTTCCTGAGGTCTTAGTGTGAACGTATGAATAGAAGAAGAAAATTTCTTTTTGCTTCAGTGCTTGGTCTCCAGAATTCAAGGTTTACATATCCATCATGTCAGAAGTGCTTCTCTCGGATAATCTTACTTCCCAAAAGGTATAATTGTCCAAAATGTGGCTCTACTGGTGAAGCTGAAAATGCCCGTTACAGATAGAAACTTTCCTTAAAAGTTGCAGAAACAAACAAATCGTTTGTCATAACTATATTTGGAAGTACCTTAGACACTTTTGGTCTTACTGCTACTGATTTGCACAGGTTCATTCAGGATCCTGATAAGATTTGGACAGTAACACAACTCAGGACCTACTAGTTAGAGCAGCTGAAACCTGCTTTGTTGGACAACGCTTTATTTTTGGAGTAACGAATTTTGAAAAACAATGCGTACAAGGTTCCGATTCTTGTAAGTGCTTACAGCAGTGCCCTGAGGGCAAAAGAGAAGTCAAAGCACTCGTGGCTTGCCAGATTGTTTTGCCAGATCCAGGTGTTGCAGGCTTCACTGTCATTGACTACTTCCGTCAGTTTTTGCAGACTTCCAATTTGAAGAAACTTCATTGTGGCTCCCAGGCACCGAATAGCCATATACTTGCTTTAGATCACTCAAATAGTGACCTTAGCAATATAGATTGTTCTGATAGTACGTCTTCTTTTTCCAAGTCTTGTGGCAGAGAAAATTTTTCAAGATTCTGGCAGCCCTCCCTTGAACTCATTTCCATTGTATCACAGCTAACAGATAAAGATGATTTGTTAACTTTAGACCAGAGCAAGACCATTAGCAGTCTTCACCAGAACAAAAAGTCCTATGCAGAACCCTCTGGTTCCAATAGCTGCCATGACCCCACTTTGGGTTCATGGAGCCTTGTTTCATATATGGATAAAAAGTGTGCCACAGAAAAGCTGGATGAACTTGGCTCACAAACTAATCAAATGAGTGCAGTTCACAGCAGTCGACATGAAATTAGAGCTACTGACTCCGATATATCCCCTTTGAAAACACGAGCGCCCTCGGAGTCAAGTAATACAAAATTCTTCAGCAGTGCAATAGAAATGAAAAACAGCTATTCCCAGCATGAGCTACCATGTTACCAGCATCCTAATATAGATACTTCCAGTAGCATTCAAGAGAAACATACATGGTGTCCACCTTCATCACTCAGACTTCTTGAAGGTGGAGTTGACAGTTCCCAGGATTGTGACCCTGAAATTTGGGATGATCTACCATTCTCTGAAAGCCTGAACAAGTTTCTGGCAGTTATTGAAAGTGAGATTGCTGTAACTCAGACAGATGCCAGTAGTAGGGAACATCATGTAGATAATGACCTCGATAAACTTCATACAGACTGTAGCAGGTTGTCTATGACTCCCCAGAGAACCGCTGGAGCCATGTGTACACCACCTGTAGCTAAGAGATCATCACAGGCAACAGTCAAAGCAAGCTCTAGCAAAGATAACTTCCTTTCCAACTGTAAAGCAAATCCAGGGCCTAGTATTCAACATAAATCACAATCAGATAACACTTCAGAGGCTGTCTCTATAAGTAGTAATAGAGGAGATATTTTAGAATGTTTTCAGCCAAACACTTACCTGTCACCTCTGTTTTCATCTTCGAAAAATTTCAAAACAACAGTTACTCTTAAGGAGACTATCAAAATTCCACCACATACGAATGAAATTTCACTTAAGCCCAGTGCTTCAGAGAGAGACCATTCTTATTTCAATTTGAAATATTTTAATGGGCATGGAGAAAAATCACTTCCAAAAATGAATGAAGAGTTGAGAATTTTGTGTTCTAGGAAGTATAGTGATTTTTCTGATCTTTGCACATTAGAGAACAAGCAATATTATAGGTGGCCAAAGAATCAAGGTGAGAGTTTTACAATTTGCAAGAAGCTTACATATCCTTTAGAAACTGTTGGCAGTAGCCCGGATGGAAGTACAGATGCATTGAAAAAAATGCCTCATAGACATTTCACTAATAACCTACCACACAGGTATTCTACTGGTCATGAAGGTAGCTACAATGCTTCTGTTGATCTCTTTGATGATATTGCTAAAGAAATGGACATCACAACAGAAATTACCAAAAAAATCACAGGATATTCTGTTACACCAGGAACATCTTTTGCTGAAAAAAGTTACCCTGAAGAGTCTGATTTTTCATTCAGATCACTTTTTGAAAACTCCAGCCAGTCTTCACAGAAATTATCATTGCACAGCGTATCTGCCTCTAGGTATCCAAGAACATGTTCTCCTCCACCCCATTTTCAGTCAGATTCAGAATATGATTTTGAAGATAGTCAAGACTTTGTCCCATGTTCACGGTCAACTCCAGTTACAGGATTTCACCAGACGAGAATTCCTGGGATAAACAGAGCTTTCGAGAAATTATCTTCCTTTCTTTCAGATCTTGATGATAACGATAAAAAAGGAAGGATTTCCCCTGAAAATGGCAAACAGCAGTCTACCCCAAGCTTCCCAAAATATGTAAAAACACCCAGCGAGAAATCCAGAAGCCCTATTATATATGGTATTACACAGTCAGAGGTTTTCAACCACCATCCTGTTGCTGAGTGCTTTGAAACTGATGATGAATGGGTCCCTCCTACAACAAAAAAAAAAAGTATTTCTTTCAGATAAGCTTGGATTCCAAGTCATGGGTCTAAGGAAGTGCCTTGCTGCCCACAATTCTGATCAAGAAGAGTTACCAAGAAAGAAACTGAAACATGTCAAGCAAGGAACTGATGCTGATAAATGTTTAATTAAGAAGGGATTCAAGAATATCTTTACAACCATAGTTACAAAGCAGAAAACTCCTAAGTAGAACTATAAAAGTTCAGGCTGCATTTCCAAACAGTCAGTTTGTGGATTGGATGCTTGTTCAGAAGTCAAATCTTGTCTTCCATTTTCTGAAAATTGCCCACCTTCAGTTCCTGAAACTGAAACTGCTTGGTCACCTGAATTATTTTCATAAAAAGTCGCCTAAGCTTTTAAAGGCAAAACTGATTAGAAATTTCTACCTCGAGTGGCATAGACAGCATTCTTTCCCTTTTGAATACTTAAAGAGAAACAAATAGAAAAAAGGGCCATAGTAAGTGCTGTTGTGCCTTTTGAAATTTTATAAAGCCATTTTCCCCAGAGTTTTGTCCACAGTCGTATAATTCAGATAATTGAGCACTTTATCTTATATTGTTGATCATATTCTAATAATATTGTTAATGTTGCTTTGAAAAAGTATTTGCTAAAATTTCATGCATATCCAGAAATAAAACCTTTGCAAACTAAAAAAAAAGAATTAAAACAGACACTAAACTGTATTTATTAATCTATTTAAAATACTATTAAATTAATTACATATTAAATAAGTTTTTTTCCAAGCAAGAAAGTTTTTTTTGCTTACCAGAGAGACAGAAAGTGAGAAATCACTCCCCAGGGAGGATGACCACACCACAATCCTTTCTCTAATATTTTTCTCTCGGGATCTTGGGCGGGCACGCACACACATCCAGTGTGAGTTTCAAGTCACCAGGTTCGGGTATTGAACTGCGATTGGCCATGTAGTAGTCCAATGCCTTAGCCACCATGCCATCCACTGGCTCCTTAAGTACCATATTTTTATGAAAATATCTGTATTTTCCAAGCAAAAACAACCTAGTAGGAAGAGCAGGATTGTTTTCCACTCTGTAAATCTCTTTAATGTCTGGAGTAACAGAGACAGCTGAATTCTCATGTCCGTTTCTTCTAATATGTTTTTCCTGGTTGAAATAGATGAAGAAAATTGGGCTTCAGAAAGATAGGTAATTAACAAAGAAAAGACGTCTTTAATCCACTCTATGGACCTTGGGGACCTCTAGGGGTCCTCAACCACACTTGGAAAACCATTGCCTTAAGATGTTTTCACTGGGACCAGCAGTTAGCGTAATGGCTATGTCGCTGGACTCTCACATAGTCGACCACGGTTCGAGTCCGGGACCTGGTGGCTTAAACTCACGCCGGGCGCGTGTGCATGCGTGCCCAAGATCCCGAGAGGAGAATGGAGGAGAAGGGATTGTGGCGTGACCATCCCCCCTGGGGGGTGATTTCTCGCTTTCTGTCTCTATGTCTCTCTCTGTCTGTCTGGCGAGCGCACGCGCCCTATAGCGAAAATCTCTCAAAAAAAAAAAAAAAGATGTTTTCACTGAGTGTCCGCTGCAGCACAAACCCTGGGGTGGGGTGCTGGTAAAGTAACTGCTCAAGAAATGGTGAAGATGAACTCATTTTTCAAATTCTTCTCAGGATTTCCAGATGGAGGAAGCTTGACCGTGGATGGAGCATTACCTGGCTTTTCATCTAATTCCACTTTTTCAGAACAGGTATGCAATGAATTCTTTTTTTTAAACTGCCAGACAGGACATGTCCTCCCCAGAGAGAAAGCATCCCCTGTGGAGAGTAGTCACCTGCAATCTTTCTCCCTCCATTTCTCCTTCCCATCAGGATTTTTGGGAGCACACAAACACATGCCCAGTTTGATTTACAAGCCCTGGGGCTGAGATCCCACTTGCAGTCAAGCAGGCGGGACCTGGCTCTCAATTCACAGAGCTTAACTGCTACACCCTGGGGCCAGCTGAAACGAACTGTTGATGTCATTTCTGGTTGGTAGAGAGTCCCCCATTTTTGTTTCAGTGACCAAGATCAAGCTCCATGTGTTCCAATTTGTATTCCAGGTGCCCTGGATAACAATTAGTGTTTCTTCTTAAAAATTAGCAAGAAAATGTGTTGTTTTATTGTTCTTCCATTCATATGGTTTATTTTATTTTATTTTATTTGGAGAGGTTTTCACTATAGGGCTCATGCGCTCGCCAGACAGAGAGAGACATAGAGACAGAAAACTAGAAATCACCCCCCAGGGGAGATGGTCACGCCGCAATCCCTTCTCCATTCTCCTCTCGGGATCTTGGGCACTCACGCACACGCGCCCAGTGTGAGTTTTAAGCCACCAGGTCTGGGACATGAACCGCAGTCGACTACGTGGGAGTCCAGTGACATAGCCATTACGCTAACTGCTCATTCCCCATTCATATGGTTTTAATTTAAGCTTTGTAATCTCCTCATAATAAATCTGTAGAGGAGCCGGCAGGCAGTGTAGTGGTTAAAGCACTGGATTCCCATATGGCCAACCATGGTTCAGATCCTGGACTTGGCAACTTGCTTTCTAGCTCTCCTCCTCTCTCTCTCTCTCTCTCTCTCTCTGTTGCTCTGTGGTCAAGTTTAAAAAATGATAATGATGATGAATAAAATTAAATTAAAAAATGGATCTGTAGAGCCTTATGATACTAAAATACATATAAGATAACCAAATGTATTTTTCAAAGAATTATTTAACTTTTTGCCTTAGCAACCTTGATAACGTCGTAGTCGACCGCGGTTCGCATCCCGGACCCGGTGGCTTAAAACTCACGCCAGGTGCATGTGCGTGCGTGCCCAAGATCCCAAGAGGAGAATGGAGGAGAAGAGATTGCGGTGTGACCATCCCCCCCGGGGGGTGATTTCTCGCTTTCTGTCTCTATGTCTTTGTCTGTCTGGCAAGCGCACGCGCCCTATAGTGAAAAACCTCTCCAAAAAAAAAACCAAAAAACTCATGCCGGGCGCATGTGCGTGCGTGCCCAAGATCCCAAGAGGAGAATGGAGGAGAAGGGATTGCGGCGTGACCATCTCCCCTGGGGGGTGATTTCTTGCTTTCTATCTCTCTGTCTCTGTCTGTCTGGCGAGCATGCACGCCGTAGAGCGAAAAAACCTCTCCCCCCCCAAAATAAAATAGGGAACCAGCAGTTAGCGTAATAGCTATGTCGCTGGACTCCCACGTAGTCGACCACGGTTTGCGTCCCGGACCCGGTGGCTTAGAACTCACGCCGGGCGTGTGTGCGTGCATGCCCAAGATCCCGAGAGGAGAATGGAGGAGAAGGGATTGCAGCGTGGCCATCCCCCCTGGGGGGTGATTTCTCACTTTCTGTCTCTATGTCTCTCTCTGTCTGGTAAGCACACGCGCCCTATAGTGAAAACTTCTCGAAAGAAAAAAAATGAAATAAAATAAAATAATTATTTAATTTCATTTATTATTATTAGTTTTTTTATTTGCTAAAGGGCACATATGCTCACCAGAGAGAGAGAGAGGTAAAGTGAAAAAACAAGTTGCCAGGTTCAGGACTCCAACTGCAATTGGCCATGTGGGAGTCTGATGCTTTAACCACCACACCTGAGAGGTGGGATATGCAGTGTGGCCATCTCCCCAGGGATGATTTCTCATTTTCCGTCTCTCTGTCTCTGTGTCTCTGGCAAGCACATGCACCCTATACCCAAAATCTCTCTCTCAATAAAAGCATGAGTTGGGTTTCTGAGTTGGCCTGTATGCACTGAACATGTGTACACGCACCTGTGACCCCAGCTGTCTGGGAAGGTTGAGAAAAGGTCTGTGGTATGAGACTCTGTTGAAGGTGCTTATCTGTCTCTCCCACTCTCACGCACATGAAAATAAACACACTTAAAACAAAAAGAGCCAGAAGACTGTGCACCCTTGGGCAAGTCCCTTAAACGTATGTAAAAATACATGTAAGAATAAAAAATATGTAAAAACATAAAATGGCATAGTGGTTACAATGCGGGACTTCCACGTGGCCGACTGCAGTTTAAGTCCCAGACCTGATGGCTTAAAAATCATGCTGGGCACATGTATGTGCATGCCCAGAATCGCAGGAAGAGAACAGAAGAAACGGGATTGCAGTGTGGCCAACCCTCCTCACTGGGGGGTGATTTCTTACTTTCCCTCTCATTATCTTGGTGTCTCTCTCTCTCTCTCTCTCTCTCTCTCTCTCTCCTCCAAGCACACATGCCCTATGGCAAAAACTTCTTAAAATAAATAAATAAATAAAATAGGAAACTATTGCATGTATCCTTCTTGCCTGCAAAGAAGGCATATATCCTTATTTGCTAGAACCAAAAGAGTTCCACAAAGCGACAACAATAAAAGCACAATGGAAAGGGAGATTATAACATACTCAGAAGAAAGAAATGCATGGGTCAGGAACCTAATGGGATTCAGCTGTGCTCATATATTAAGTTCAGCTAGGGTCAAATGGGAAAAAAATTCCAAGCTAAAATCCTTGTGGTTGTTTAATGAAAGCATGAAACTATTTTCACGTGTCCAAATGTAGTTAGGCCAGTCTTGGTAATGCAGAAGGGGTCTTTGCTCCAGAGCACAGAAGTTAGAGGCACTGAGGGTCTAAGTCATGCTTAACTATGCCCCGCATTTCACAGGAAGCCGAAGTTCACTGTAAGCCCTGGTATGCCGGCGCCTGCGATCGCAAGTCTGCTGAGGAGGCGTTGCACAAGTCAAACAAGGTTAGATTGTTTTAAATCCCATTTCTTCACCCCAGCCTATCCTAGGCACAATTGTGGCCTGATATATACTAATGCAATCATTGTAACAACTATGGATACAGGACTCTTCTTCCTTTACTACTTCAAGAAGAACTACTGCACCTTCCTCTTTCCAGCATCTTCTTTGTCCCTCCCTCCCTTTTCTACTCTTCTTTTAATCTCCACAAGGCTCTATAGACTCATGCTCTCCCAACACTAAGAGACGAGGTGCTGAGAGATCTCTGGAACTCTGGCCATTACATGAGCTCCATCTAGGAGTGAACACTCACTCACAGGCTATTTTGGATCAGTGCATGAGATTAAAGAAGAGAGAGAGAGGTAAAGTGAAAAAACAAGTTGCCAGGTTCAGGACTCCAACTGCAATTGGCCATGTGGGAGTCTGATGCTTTAACCACCACACCTGAGAGGTGGGATATGCAGTGTGGCCATCTCCCCAGGGATGATTTCTCATTTTCCGTCTCTCTGTCTCTGTGTCTCTGGCAAGCACATGCACCCTATACCCAAAATCTCTCTCTCAATAAAAGCATGAGTTGGGTTTCTGAGTTGGCCTGTATGCACTGAACATGTGTACACGCACCTGTGACCCCAGCTGTCTGGGAAGGTTGAGAAAAGGTCTGTGGTATGAGACTCTGTTGAAGGTGCTTATCTGTCTCTCCCACTCTCACGCACATGAAAATAAACACACTTAAAACAAAAAGAGCCAGAAGACTGTGCACCCTTGGGCAAGTCCCTTAAACGTATGTAAAAATACATGTAAGAATAAAAAATATGTAAAAACATAAAATGGCATAGTGGTTACAATGCGGGACTTCCACGTGGCCGACTGCAGTTTAAGTCCCAGACCTGATGGCTTAAAAATCATGCTGGGCACATGTATGTGCATGCCCAGAATCGCAGGAAGAGAACAGAAGAAACGGGATTGCAGTGTGGCCAACCCTCCTCACTGGGGGGTGATTTCTTACTTTCCCTCTCATTATCTTGGTGTCTCTCTCTCTCTCTCTCTCTCTCTCTCTCTCTCCTCCAAGCACACATGCCCTATGGCAAAAACTTCTTAAAATAAATAAATAAATAAAATAGGAAACTATTGCATGTATCCTTCTTGCCTGCAAAGAAGGCATATATCCTTATTTGCTAGAACCAAAAGAGTTCCACAAAGCGACAACAATAAAAGCACAATGGAAAGGGAGATTATAACATACTCAGAAGAAAGAAATGCATGGGTCAGGAACCTAATGGGATTCAGCTGTGCTCATATATTAAGTTCAGCTAGGGTCAAATGGGAAAAAAATTCCAAGCTAAAATCCTTGTGGTTGTTTAATGAAAGCATGAAACTATTTTCACGTGTCCAAATGTAGTTAGGCCAGTCTTGGTAATGCAGAAGGGGTCTTTGCTCCAGAGCACAGAAGTTAGAGGCACTGAGGGTCTAAGTCATGCTTAACTATGCCCCGCATTTCACAGGAAGCCGAAGTTCACTGTAAGCCCTGGTATGCCGGCGCCTGCGATCGCAAGTCTGCTGAGGAGGCGTTGCACAAGTCAAACAAGGTTAGATTGTTTTAAATCCCATTTCTTCACCCCAGCCTATCCTAGGCACAATTGTGGCCTGATATATACTAATGCAATCATTGTAACAACTATGGATACAGGACTCTTCTTCCTTTACTACTTCAAGAAGAACTACTGCACCTTCCTCTTTCCAGCATCTTCTTTGTCCCTCCCTCCCTTTTCTACTCTTCTTTTAATCTCCACAAGGCTCTATAGACTCATGCTCTCCCAACACTAAGAGACGAGGTGCTGAGAGATCTCTGGAACTCTGGCCATTACATGAGCTCCATCTAGGAGTGAACACTCACTCACAGGCTATTTTGGATCAGTGCATGAGATTAAAGATTTGGGTCAACATGGCAAAAAAAAAATACCTGAAACTTAATTTTTGGAGAGTTCAGTCTCAACCCTACATTGGGGACAATGCAGTTTGAACAATCCCTGAGTAAAGTGCCACTTTTCACTTTCATTCTCCCTGCTCCTCTTATTATGACTTGTCCCCCAACTTTGTCAGAACAGATAACATTTACCTGCTGTTCTTCCCACCCTTGGTTTAGTCCTAGCTCTTCAGCTGAACACATTAAATGCTTTCCATCAGTCCTTTGGTTGACTTTGCCAGTTGTGTTTTGTCTGATGAAGCTCACATAGTAGATTCCAGGAAAGATTGTGTTCGCATCATTCCCAAAGTTCTTGTAAATCTGAGCCTGTTTTTACATATACTGATACTGGGAGGAAATCTTAGCAAGGTATAAAATCCTTCACTTGAGTTTTTTAAATTTTGTTATTCTGGCCAACAAGCGGTGTGGTGGTTAAGGTGCTGGATTCCCACATGGCCGACTCTGTGATTCGAATACCAAACCTACCAGCTTCAAAAACACTCAGAATTCTTGTGTGTGTGTGCCCAAAACCCTAAGAGGAGAGCGGAGAAGAGATTGTGGTGTGTCATTTCCCCTAGAGGAGTGATTTCTCACTTTCCATTTTCCCCCTTTCTCTGGCAAGCACACAAGCCCGGTAGCAAATATCCTTTTAAAAAGGAAAGAAAAAATTATGTTGCTGTGCTGGATTGCTTTGTTCTGTACGAGGCTTGAAGTTTGAGGCTGTTGTAATTTTCTTGCCCTTAGGTGTAATTTGATACTTTAGTCAGAAGGCTCTGCAACTTTTTTGTTTTAGTCTAATATCAATAGTTTTGCAAGAGTTTGTCTCTTGAGTGGATTTATGCCAGGTCATTTTTCTCAGGTACACAGAAACCCTTTCAAAATGTACATTTAATTTTTCTTAAATTATAATTCCATTGTTTTGTCTTTCTTCTTCAAGGACTCAATAGCATACACGTGGGGATTTTTTTAGTTTCTTTCATTTCAACACTGTGCTCTGACCATATTATACTTCTTTTATTAAATCTCATTCTCTTACTGTCTTGGTTGTTTCTACATCTTCCTCCAGTGTCATTTATTAAATCTTCATTGAAGGTTATTATCCCTTGGGCATCTTTTAATTTTTGTTTATTTCTGAGATAGATTTGTCTTTTTCTTAAACAATTTTCCTAAGTTTTATCAATTCTTGTTGCATTTCTTCTTCCTACTTTTTGTGCATCTTTGTTCATAATTTTTTCATTTAAAACATTAATTTACCTTATTTTAGTTTTGTTTGTTGTTTTAACTATAGGGTGTGTGCGCTCACTGGAGAGACAGAGAGAGAGGGAGAGAGGAAGTGAGAAAGCACCCTCCAGGGGTGATGACCAGGCATAATCTTTTCTCTTCATTGTGCTCTTAGTCCTAGTGTGTTTTCTAGCTGCTGGGTCCAGGATTGAAACTGTGCAGTCAGCCATGTGGTATCCAACCACCTTAGCCACTACTCAACTTGACTAGCCCCATAATTTTAGAATTTATGATTCAGGATATTTTAATAAAATATTTAGTAAAATTTGGAATACTGTATTACATGTTTTTTTCCACTTAACCTAAGTTTTTTGGGGGAGAGAATTTGCCCTAGCTAAAAGTTTGATTGTCAATCTCATTTCTTCTTCTAGTACTTTGGAATGGAATTTGATACTTTTTTATTCATAGACAACTTATGGACATGGCTTCCAGTTTAAGAGTGTCCTCTGCAGGGGCCAGTAGTGGTGGTGTAGTGGTTAACATGCTGGATTCCCATGTAGCTGACCACAGTTCAAGTCCCAGACCCAGCAGCTTGAAACTCATGCCAGGCACATGTGCATGTATGCCCAAAGTCCTAAGAGGAGACTGGAGAAGGGGTTGTGGCCTGGTCATCCTCAGTTCCTGTCTATCTCTCTGGCGAGTGCACATGCCCTAAAAGCAAAAATCCCTGGGTTCTATCTTAATGTGTCCTTTCACACATTTCTAAATCCTATAAACATAATACTTTATTTAGCACATCAAAAAGCTAACATTGGGACCAGCAGTTGGCATAATGGCTATGTCGCTGGACTCCCACATAGTCAACCGCGGTTTGAGTCCCAGACCCGGTGACTTGAACTCACGCCAGGCATGTGTGCGTGTGTGCCCAAGATCCCAAGAGGAGAATGGAGGAGAAGGGATTGCGGTGTGACCATCCCCCCTGGGGGGTGATTTCTCACTTTCTGTCTCTGTCTGGAGAGTGCATGCGCCCTATAGCAAAAACCTCTCAAAAAAAAAAAAAAGCTAACATTGACCTCACTTAGGATTTTTATGATTATATATTTTTGCTGAACTATAAGAAAATAGTAAACCCAAATCAATAACAAAAATCATGCAGTTAAATATCACCTTTGAACATAGTATTTGGATTCTTCACAAACTGGGTTCTAATCTGCATACAATAAGTAATACTAACCATAGTTACGCTTTTCTCTCATTAAACAGGATGGATCATTTCTTATTCGAAAAAGCTCTGGCCATGATTCCAAACAGCCATATACACTAGTTGTATTCTTTAACAAGCGAGTATATAATATTCCTGTGAGATTTATTGAAGCAACAAAACAGTATGCTTTGGGAAGGAAGAAAAATGGTGAAGAGGTCAGTAATTTCTCTTCTAATTCAACTCTCTAAGTATATACTGAGCACAGTGATATCATACTACACTAGGCGCTAGCGATGAAGAGAAGGGATACAGTAGCACTTGGGCTGTGCGTTCATGTATATCACAAATAGAGCATGAGGTACGATACTACGTCTGAGCAGTATATCCTATGATGAAACAGAAAACAAGACAGAATGGTACGAGATACACCCTAATCCTTTCATCCAGATACCTAATAGGATCAGTCTGACCCACAGTGTTAGTCCAGGACATACGAATCAAGGGCGAAGTGTCTAATAGAATGAAGATGATATGAATCAAGGTCAGGGTCCACCCTCCAAAGTAAAGACCTACAATCTCGACTCAGCTGCCAAGGATGGTGAGCAGGGAGAAATACAGAAGAGACGCAGAAACATAATTGGAAAATAAGATTTAATTTTAAACAATAATCCTTGGAACAGAATGACTTTATGTGCCTGCAACAAGAAAACAAATCATACTGGTATTAAATATTAACCGAGCATGAACTTCAGTATCTCTTTAATCAGGACTGAACTTAATGCTTAACAAAGCTCAGTTTAGTCAGCCTGTTCCTATAAGTGAGCCCTGAAATATGATCCAGAATTGGAGTGACACCTGTTCTGGTCTCGAATGATGGCTGAATTAGATTAGGTAGAACAAAAGTTGGAGGGAAGAAGAAGAAGAGGAAAGAACAATCTAAGTAGAGAAACTAGCTTAAACAAAGTTCAAGTTAAGAAATAAGTATTTTCAAGGTTCCTTCAGAAAGTTACACACACCATTCCAAACCCAGCTCTTGTTAGAAAGCATTTGAATGGCTAGAAAGTGTCATCGTTGCTGAAGTGTCTGTCTTCTCCACTGGGTGAGGCCAGGGGCTCTGTCTCGTTCAGCTCCATTTCCAGAGCTAGAGCACAATGGCTACCTTGATTGGATGCTTGACGTATACTCATCGAATGAATTGATTGATTTGTTGATTACAGGCAGAATAGCACTCCTAAAACAAACGGAAAAAGTCTCGTGTGTTTTTTATTTTGCTTGTTTAAACTATTGTGGTTAAAGGCACATATTATAAAATAGACCACCTTCACCATTTTTAAATGTACAGTTCGTCAGTGTCAAATATACATACATTTTTGTGAGACAGATCCCCAGAAATTTTTCATCTTGCAGAACTGAAACTTTACACCTCTTAAACAACAACTCCCCACACACATGCTCTAGGGTGGTTCCCTGGAAGCTACCATTTATTCTTTTTTTTTTTTTTTTAAGTTTTATAGAGGGCACATGTGCTCACTGGGGAGACACAGAAAGAGAAAGAGGGGAAGCAAGAAAGCACCGTCCCCTATGTGGAGAATAGTCATGCTACAATCCTTTCTCCTCCATTTCTCCATCCTTTAGGATTTGGGGCATGTACACACACATGTGCCTGGCGTGTTTCTCAAGCCTCCAAGTCAGACTCCAATGGTGTGGTCAGCCATGTGGGATCCTGCGGCCTTAACCAGCAGGCCATGGACTGGCACTTTACTTTCTATTTTTATCAATTCAACTAGTTTAGATTCTTCGTATAAGTGGGATCATACAATATTTGTCCTTTGCTACTGACCTGTTTTACTTGGCGTAATGTCAAGACTCACCAATGTTTAGCATGTGACAGGATTTCCTTCCTGCGTAGTTTCCCACTGTATCTACATATTAATGTTACATATGAAAAACATATTAATACTACAGTTTGCCCACTCTTCTGTCAGTGGACATTTGACTGCTACCACCTCTTAGCTATTTTGAATAGTGTAGCTATAAACATGAATGTGCAGGTATTTCTCCAAGACCTTGCTTTTGAGTCTTTTAGATATATGCCCCAAAGTAGTGGTTCTGGTTGTTTCGTTTTGTTTTGTTTTTAAGAAACTTCCATACTTTTTATCCATAGCAACTACATTATTTTACAGACTCACCGGTACTGCCCAACTCCCCCACATTTCCACCATCATTTGTTATTTTCGGGTGTAGTTTTTTTTAATCGTAAACATCCTATGGGTATGAGGTGCTATCTCATTGTGGTTTTGATTTGCATTTCTCTGATGATTGGTGATATCGAGCATCCTTTTATATGCTTGTTGGACACTTGTATATCGGGAGAAGTGGCTATTCAAGTCTTTGGCCCATTTTTAAATCAATGTATTTATTTATTTATTTATGGTTGTGTTTTAGGAGTTATTTACATAATCTACATATTAACCCCATATCAAATATTAGACTTGAAAATATTTTTCCTCTTTGCAGGTTACCTTTTCGCTCTGTTGATTGTGTTCTTTAAGGAAGAGAAGTTTTAAATTTGATGTAGCCCTACTTGTCTATTATTTTCTTTTGTTGTCTGTGCTTTTAGAGCCATGTCCAAGGAATCATGGCCAAGTCCAATGTTATAAAGCTTTTCCCCTATGTTTTCTTCTGGGATTGAGTTTTATTTTGCTTTGAATAAAGTATCATATAAATAAAAAAGACAAAGCTCTTGAATCTGAGAACACAGAACAAGAGCAAACTTGGGTTTTAAGATGTAGGCTGCCCTGTCATCTAACACCAGCTATACTTAACAGAACTGCCATTTTTTTCCTCACTCATAAGTATCTTCAATCTCACTGAAAACTTTATCTTACAAATCTTTTTTCCCCCTGTTAAGTGATCTGCAGTAAAAGTCAGTGGTAGGAGAGAGTCGTGACCCTAGTATTAAAGAATGGCTTTGCAGGGTGCTTTTATTCTGGTCTCCTCAGCGTCTAGCTTTTGGGTGGGTGAGGGAGCTGTCCAAATTAGAGGTCCTGAAATTCTCCCATATAAATTTTGAGCTCCCAAATGGGCTCTGGACATTTTTGTTCTGCTAGGAAACCCTGCTAAACAGAGATTCCTCTTAGCCTAGTGCATCTTCATCCCTTCCTCAGAATTAATAGGTCAGAACGTCACCCCACTTTCAACCTATCCAGCCGAAGGATACCAAAATAAATAGTATACTGGCATCTGTATATACTGGGTCGGTTAAAACTCTTACTCAAATGATCTGTAATAAAAAGATAAAATCTCCCACGTATATACATCTGAATGGAAAATGGTAATTTTGGCTATATGTCAACCATGTAAATATTTTTGAAAAGTACGTGTGTCAGATTTGTGTTTGTGCATATGTGGGGAGTAAAAGTAACCAAACGATAAACTGTTTGACTTTTTATGCAGCTGTTTTGTTAATAGCGATACAGAATCAAGTAGCTTTACAGCTTTGACAGCTGTCTTCATTATCTTATTGGCCATGCAATTTTCAGTTATCAAACAAGTTATTTTCCTATCCATGCATGGATATCCGAATTAATGTAAACAGGAAAAGAAGGAACAGAGGACAAACTGTAGTTGGTGTATGCCTAATTATTCTTTCAACTAAATCACAAATATGCTTTTACTCTGCTCCTTAAACCTTTCTACTCAGCTCAGCTGAACTTCCTGTTGCGAGCATTTCTATCCCCAACACTAGGAGCCAATACTCAGACTTATTTCAGGACTAGATAGAATGAGATGTGTTTGTGTAAGTACAGCCACTCTCTCCAAGGCTTCCTGGGTTCAAGGCATACCTTTCTACTCAGAACCCACTTCAGAGAGGTTGTGCTATTTCATTTTCTGGCCCATTCGTCTATACATCTAACTTCCATTTGGTTTAACAACGTGCTATGCCAAACAGAATGGAGGCCTTGTGTGATTCAGTACAGATCATGTTACTGGCCATGGCAAGAGGACTGAATGGCTAAAGAGAAAGTAAGGAATAAGACTAAAGTTATTCAGGATCCCTGTCTCCCACATCTTCTTCATGACTTAATATTCTGTTAGCCAATTACCTAAAAGACAACGGAGATGTCATGTGAAAAAGTTGGCCAGTATTCAGAGCATTTTATTCAAAATATATGTATATAAAACAACTCATAAAGGCTTTTAATTTTTTTTACTTCAGTTGTTTGTCTTTACCTGAAAAATTAAGAGACAGTAAAATCAATGGATAGAAATTACTAGACTCATGACACTGCTGCAAAACAACTACCACTTTTTTGTTTAATGATTATAAATTTGGCGATTATGAACTTGTATTACTTTTCTTTACTCAGTACATTCTATTATATGGTCTGTGTCACACTGATTTAATCTTTTAAGACTTTGATCATTTTCCAGAAGAAAATTTATAATAAGCTGAAATCCATAGACAGTGTGGATTAAAATACGGAAAAATAAATGTGTACAATGAGAGCCTAGCATTAAATGTCATTATTAATTAGGCACTAGGTTATCTGTAAGCTTCTCCAGAGTCAAGCAAAAATAAAAATAAAAGGATTTATAAAGCTTTATATTAAAAAAATAAATTTATCTAGGAGATAACATTTTTCTTTTTTTAAAAAGATTTATTTTATTTAATTTTATTTATTCATTCATTTATTTTAATTTGACCAGAGAGAGAGAGAGAGAGACAAAGAGAGAGAGAAAGTGAGAAAGCAAGCTACCAGGTCCAGGACTTGAACCGTGGTCAGCCATGTGGGAGTGTTCAGCACCTTAACCACCACGCCACCTGCTGGTCCTGGAAATAACTTTTTTCTAATACTAAATTCTATGGTAAATTTATTGTATCTACCCTTATACCCAATATATAATTGACTTATGCAATATATCAATCTATGCTTTGAAAACAATGTAGAAAAATGTACTGAACGACAGAGTCACATTTGACAATAAATAAAAAGCAAATGTTAAAATTTGTATCATAACTCCAAGAAGTAATTTCTCTAAATAATTATGCTAATTGAGGCTGCCAGTGTGCTTTTTATCTTACTAGATATAGAGAAGTCCAGATTTTGCCACCTCAAAGGTTAAAGCCTGTGTTAAACTAGAGTTTTTTGGGCAGAATGTCAGGTGGGATCTGATAACTTTTACTAATGTGAGAAAGGAGAATGTGAGGGGACCAGAGCTCAAGTCTAATACAAATGCCAACATATAATCCCTCTATGTTTTATTTCTCTAGTACTTTGGGAGTGTCGCTGAAATCGTCAGGAATCATCAACATAACCCCCTGGTTCTTATTGACAGTCAGAATAATACAAAAGATTCCACAAGACTGAAATATGCAGTTAAAGTTTCATAAAGAAAAAAATGGAAGCCAATATCATTGCTTCAGACAGTTCCCCCCAGTTTCTCCTTTTGAGAAGAAGTTCCCAAACTTCATTTTTCAGATTATGGACCATCAGATAAAACAGAAGACGAAGGCAGCCATTTCTTTATAAGAAGCTCACATGGACTTCTTCTGCCTGTTGCTTAACCCAATGAGCTGTTGACATCTGGTGAGGCTGAGTTAGCACGCAACTCATACTCTCCAAATAAATGTCTTTATTTAAAACAAACAGGTGTAAAGCATCATCAGTCACATAAATGTTCTATTTTCAAAATAAAACCATCATTCTCTTGGATAAGACAACATTGCTGCAAATCGAGGCCCCACAACGGCCACTAATGCACTAACGTAGCTGGATTGTCTGCGTCAGTGCTCAACACTTGTGTCTTGGTTACAGCCGTAGAAAATACGGCATTAAAGGTAACGTTTGGTATTTGTAAGTCCAGTCACAGGGGTGTAACAGCTCCTTTCTGCGAGTGGTCCAAACCGTAAAGGGATGTGCAGGGGTATGAACTTCCTAGTTCTTGTCCAGGATTATGCTGTTAGCTTTGCTTATTAAAGATAATTATGCCCTCTTTGATCTGCATGTCTGTTAAACAGAACCTAAACTGGATATAAGGTTCCAAGTAGGGTGACAGCAAACTAGGGTAGAAGCTGTTCCTAGGGAAATGTCCCACAGAGCGAGGGCAGAAAAGCAGACACTGATGAACACTAAGGAATGAAAGTGGCACCATCGTGAGCAGCCATGGCCGAGGTCCTAGATCATCACAGAAATGTATTCTACTTTGTTATGTCAAGGGTTTTTTTCGGTTTTTACTTTGGAGAGCATTGAGATAAAACAGGGAATTAAATCTAATCATCAAGTGAGGAATGCACTTGATCACTGAGCAAGATAGCAGTCTCAAAAGATTTGGAAAGACTAGAAGGTAATGATTTCAGAGTAATAATACTTTCATACTTACTATCTATGTTATGGGTTGGATTACTCCACCCCCTTGAAAAAAGACAGGTTGATGTCTTAACTCCATGTCTCAGAATGTTCCATTATTTGGAAACAGGGGTCTTTACAGATATAGTCAAGATCAGATCAGTAGGGTGAACCCTAATAGAATGGCTGGTGTCCTTTTTTAAAAGAACTATCTTATTTAACTTTATTTTATTTATTTTAATTTGACCAGAGAGGGTCAGAGTGAGAGAGAGTGAGAAAGGAAGCCGCCAGGTCCAGGACTCAAACCACAGACGGCCATGTGGGAGCCCAGCACCCTTAACCACCACGCCCAACTCTTCCACAACGGGTGTCCTTACAGAAAGAGGAAATTTGGACACAGACACTGGCAGGTGCAGCGTGGAAACTGAAGACACCAGAGAGAACCTCACAGGAAGATGGGGACTGCAGCAATTCAGCTGCAAGCCTAAGATCACAAAGATAGCCATGATTCCTCAGAAGCTGGGAAGAGGCCAGGCCAGATCCCTACGGGTTTAGAGTGAGCACGGCCCTGCCACACTTTGATTTCAGACTTCAGTCGTGCAGAGCTGGGAGGCAACAAACTTCTGGAAGTCTGAAGCCACCCAATTTGTGGTACTCTTTTATAGTGGCCCTAAGAAACCAAAATAATTTCTTACATTTTCCTTCCTTTACAATAAAATTGAGGGGGCCAGCAGTTAGCATAATGGCTATGTAGCTGGACTCTCATGTAGCCGACAGTGGTTCAAGTCCCAGACCCAGTGGCTAAAACTCACACAGGGCACGTGTGTGTGCGTGCATGCCCAAGATCCTGAGAGGAGAATGGAGGAGAGCGGGTTGCGGAGTGGCCATCCTCCCTGGGGGGTGATTTCTCACTTTCTGTCTCTCTGTCTCTGTCTTTCTGGCAAGTACACGTGCCCTATAGCAAAAACCTCTCCCCCCCAGAAAATAATAAAGTAAAATAAAATTGGGTATAAATGGGTTTTTGAGATTTTGTATAGGAAGATTTTTTTTTCTTTTAGGAAAATAATGAGATAATTTAGAACATATTCAAAAGAGTAATTTGCAACTTAAAGGAAACTGGGATGATCGTTAAGTAAAGCATACATTTGTAAAGTACCAGCTGAAGCCTAGTTTACCTCAGTATTATAGGGAGTTACTTTCTACTTTAGTAAATCCTCATTAATTCCTTCTGCTACCACAGTGACCCTGGCTCCAAAACCACCTTCCCTGCACACCTGTCTCCTCCCCCAGGTGGCCTACTCCAGCTGGATTAAGGAGCTGGCTGAGGGTTGTGCTAATCCGCCATTGGTTACCGCTCAGCACTGCCCTGGGGTCACCTGGAGCAGAGACTGGGAGGGTCTCTGAGGGAAGCCATGCTCTGCAGAGGGCCCTGCTCTTCCCCAGCGTTGGGAGAAGCGTCCAGCTCACCACGCCACTCTTCCCATCTCACAGCACAGTCCACTGGCCACGATCCTCGTGGTGGTATTCTCAGGGAGACTAGAAAGAGTTCAAGAGATCTCAAAAGCCCTAGCTGTCATTTTTCACTGCTTGACGAAGCGATTCTGAGCGGAATGTTCAGACAGGCTGGGTGGTGGAACAGGAGACGCGTGTCGAGGAGTACACGGCCCGCAGCAGGAGGAGGAAACGCACAAGCCAGCTCCCGGCTGCTCCTCCAGGGAGGCTGTGGGCTGGACTGCAGCGCCGTAGCAGGCAGGCTGCCCACATCGTTTGAGTGGCTGGTAGAGATGGGAAGGTCAGGCCTGCAGCCGTCGAAAGCCTGGATTTTGTCATAAATTAGCCAGGCCAGCTGCCTAGAGCCCCTGCTCTGAGCGCTAACTACTCTTATGCAGGTATGACCGGCTTGCCTACAGGGAGGCCAGGGGAGCAGCATCAGAGATGAGCAAAACCAGCACCACGTGACACAGCTCAGGCAGGACTGAATTCCTGTCCTTCGAAATGGCCTGCTTCTAGATAGGGTTGCCTGAACTCACGGAAGGATCTACCTCCCAACGGGGAGAATTGCACTGAGTGCCCCTGGCCCTTGGCGACTGCGTCTAGCCACAGGTGAGGCAGTGCTGGCTTCAGTGAGGTCTGGGCATCCTAGACCTCCCATTTACCAGTGTATGTTACTGGGCGTGTTTTTTTATTTTTATTTTTTTATTTTTTGGAGAGGTTTTTGCTATAGGGCACGTGCGCTTGCCAGACAGAGACAGAGAGACAGAAAGTAAGAAATCACCCCCCAGGGGGGATGGCCACGCCACAATCCCCTCTCCTCTGTTCTCCTCTCGGAATCTTGGGCACACACAGGACGCGAACCGCGGTCGACTACGTGGGAGTCCAGCGACATAGCCATTACGCTAACTGCTGGTCCCACTGGGCGTGTTTCTTAGCACTCCCATTTGTACATCTGTGGAACAGCGATGTTCCAGTAACAAACTAGAGTTAAACCAGCGTGCTGGTCAGTGCCTGGCACTTATCTGTGCCTAGTAATCGACTGATACTTCCCTAACCAAAATCCCCTTCGTAGAGACAACTCTTCAAATAAGCTCACCTGTAAGTATCTTCAAACACCATAATTTTAATTATGTCTCAGGAAAATCCCAATTGTCTTCTCAACATCCATGGTTCTTAATTTTTTAGTAGTTACAAAATTCTTGGGAATCTGATGCGGTCTATAGGTCCTTAGTCCTGAGGAGAAAATACATATATGTACATACACAAAATCTCACATCAAATCTCATGAGAGGGAACCAGCAGTTAGCGTAATGGCTATGTCGCTGGACTCCCACGTAGTCGACCGCGGTTTGCGTCCCAGACCCGGTGGCTTAAAACTCACGCCGGGCGCGTGTGCGTGTGTGCCCAAGATCCCAAGAGGAGAATAGAAGAGAAGGGATTGCGGTGTGACCATCCCCCCTGGGGGGTAATTTCCTGCTTTCTATCTCTCTGTCTCTCTCTGTCTGGCGAGCGCACACGCCCTATAGTGAAAACCTCTCAAAAAAAAAAAAAAATCTCATGAGATTCCTGAAGCCTTCCTTGGACCAAGAGTCCAAAGACCTGAGACCCTTGTGCCACATTCTTCTTAAACTTGGATGCATCAAGTTGGGCATACTGCTCTAAAGACCCGAATGACCCTAACCGCAACTCCTCCAGTAGAAGAGATACAGGATATAGCAATGGTTTGGCCCAAAGGCTTTGGAGTGAGTTGCCTCAGTTCTAATCTCAGCTTCAACAGTAACAGATTGTGTGACCCTGAGCAAGTTGTCTTGGTTTCTTTATTTGTAAAATGAAGATGATAATGTAGCCCACATTGTGGGACTGATTGTTCAGTGAGTGTGTTAAGAATTGTAAAAGTTCAAGTGCGTTCATAATTCTTCCTTCCTTCATCAGTCAGCATTTACTGAACCTGCCGTGTCTGTGACGATGTATGTCTGGCACATGAAACGCAGAGAAAAATCATCTCAAATTCCTGAGGATACCCAAATGGCACTCAAACATCTTATTAAATCAGAGTGATAGGGGCCAGGTGGTGTGGTGGTTAAAATGCTGGACTCCCACATGGCCAACCAGTTCAAGTCCTGGTGACTTACAAATCACACTGGGCATGTATGTGTGTGTGCCCAAAATCCAAGAAGGGAATGGAGGAAAAGGGATTGCAGCGTGGCCATTACCTCTGAGGGCCAGGGGGTGGTGGGGGGATGATTTCTCACTTTCCTTTTCTGTCTTTCTCTCTCTCTCCAGCGAGCACACATGCCCTGTGACAAAACCCTAAAAATTTTTTTTAATGATTTTATAAAAATACTAAATAGAACTTTTATCCAGGATCTACTGTACTTAAAAGAATAGACTATCAGTCCTATAATTCAGCAGTTAAGGGAACCAGATCCTACATGGCCTACTGCAGTTGAAATCCCAGTCCCAGCAGTTTGAAAAATATGCTAGGTATGTGTGCATACCATGCCCAAAAGCCTGACTGGAAGGAGGAATGGAGGGAAAAGAACTGCAGCATGACCACACCCCATCAGGACGGTTCTCCCTCCCTCTCTCCCTCTTTCTCTCTCTCTGATGAATGTATGTGCACTCTGGCAATGAAAAAAAATTATTACAATGAGAAAAACCCTCAAAGAAACATGAATGTAAGTGGAATAAATGTACTTACTGTCCCAGCCGTGGAGGTGCACAGGCTGCATACTGACTCGATGGTTTCCAGCCTAGAAAACTTAAAGAATGCAAGTGCCTCCGACCAAAGGGGGAAAGCTGGGAGAATGGACTCACGTTACATTCTTAGTCATCCAGTACTGAAGTAAGAGTGTCAACAGCAATTCCTTCAACAGGGTATCAGAACAAATCAGAAAACTTACATTCGCATATAAACTTACTAATAGGAGGAAAAGTTACCATACTAGTCTCATAAGAAGTTTTAGAAGGTATTCTTCTGGGGACTAAGAAAGGCAGGGCATAAGAAGTGTATTCCGTGTTAACATGAACACTAATTGTTCTTCATTTTTGTTTGATTTTCATGATGATATAAAGAAGTATACATTTTTTTTTTTTTTTCTGATGGTAAAGGCCTGCTGTTGAAAATGGAGAAGCTGGAGGCAGAGAGAGTGGCCTCTGGGTTAACCCATGCCTAAAGTGCTGAGGCTCTCTTTAGTTGATGCTGGCCAATTAACAAAGGAAAAAGGAGAAAAATCTAAAAAAGGACACCCCAGGGGCATGATGGCAGGTGGCGTGATGGTTAAGGCACTGGACTCCAACATGGCTGACCATGATTCAAGTCCTGGACCTGGCAGCTTGAAAATCACACTGGACACATGGACTTACCTTAAACTAACTAACTAACTAACTAACTAACTAAATAAATAAATAAGGACACTTCAAGACTTGGAGGTAAATGTAATTCTTTTTTTTTTTTTTTTCAGAATTACTTTATTTAATTTTATTTATTTATTTTTATTTTGACCAGAGGGGGACAGCACGAGACAGTGAAAGAGAGAAAGCAAGCTGCCAAGTCTGGACTCAAACTGCAGTCAGGCATGTGGAAGTCTAGTGACCTTAACCACCATGCCACCTGCCGGCCCCAGCCTACTACTTTTGAGATGCATCCATATTGATACATATATCACTAGTTTGTTCCTTTCCTTGCTGACTAATATTCCATTGTCTGAATATATATCCATTTGCTTTTCGCTAGCTGATGGAAATTTGGTTGTTTATAGTGTGGGGCTAAACAAATGAGCTGTTATAATTTGTGTAGAAACTTTTGCATGGACATTCATACCAGGGTAATCCTGGATTCATAAACAAACATAAGCAATGTTCTAGTCTCTTTTCCGAAAGAGTTTTTTTAATGTATTTTCTTTATTTAAGTAAACATTTTGATTATAATACATGAGCATGGACAACCATGTGACAGAGTACAGTAGTCTATGGTTTGGTGTAGCCTCCTTGACTTTAGGCTGCATATTTTTCCGGGTGATTCTTCAAGATTTGACACTGACGCCCAACACAAACTTTCCAATGGCCATGCAAGAGTTCTAGAGACTGCTACCCTTCCCCTCCGTCTCTCTTCAGATACTGTGTGCCATTTTCTCCCACGAAAGAATTTTTTTTAGAGTTGGTATTATTTCTTCCTGATATATTAATAGCATTCACCAATAAAACCATCCAAGCTTTGTGAAAGGTTTTTTACTACAAATTCAATCTATTTAATAGATACAGGGTATTATGATTTTCTCTTTCTTCTGTGTGTTTGTTAATTTGTGTCTTTCAAGAAATTTGTCTATTTCACTGGGCTACCAAACTTACTCATATAAAAGTAGTAATATTCTAACATAATTCTGTTAAGAGCCGTAGGACCTGTAGTAATAGCCCCTGTGTCATTCCTGATATTGGTAATATCTCTTTCTCTCTTGATCAGCCCAGCTAAAGGTTTTTTTAATTTTACTGAATTTTTCAAAGAAATAAGTTTGGGTTTCATTAATTTTCTTTACTGTTTGTATTTCTACAGAAACCTGATTATTTCTTTCCTTTTACTTATTTTGGGCTTAATTTGCTCTTTTTTTATAGTTTCTTAAATGGAAGCTTACCTAATTGAGTTTTGTTTTGTTTTTTGAGAGATGTTTGCTGTAGTATACATGCACTCATCAGAGAGACAGAGAGTGACAGAGATAGAAAGCAAGGCATCACCCCCCACCACCATCGGGGGTGGACATGCCACAATCCCTTCTCCTCCATTCTCCTCTTGGGATTTTTGGGCACACATGCAGACACCCTGGGCATGAATTTCAACCTGCCAGGTCCAGGACTCAAACCACAGTTGACTCCATGGGAGTCCAGCACCTTAACCACTATGCCACCTGCTGGCCCCCCTAATTGAGTTTAAGTCTTTATTATTTTCTAATTTAAGTATCTGAAGCTAAAAAGTTCTCTCTAAGCATAGTATTATTGAACAAGGCCAGCAGATGGCACGGTGGTTAAGGTGCTGGGTTCCCATATGACCTACCTAGCGGCTTGAAAATCATGTTGGGCACATATGTATGTGTGCCCAAAATCCAGAATGGAGAAAGGACTATAGCACGGCCATCCCCCCAGGGGGTTGATTTTTCACTTTTCCTCTCACTGTCTCTGTCAAGCACATGTGCCCTATGGCAAAAATATATATACACTCTTTATGAGGCCAGATGCTATGCATGGTGGTTAAAGCAGCTGGATCCCATATGGCCAACCACATGGTTCAAGTGTGCATGCTCAAAATTCCAAAAGAAGACATAGAGGAGAAAGGGTTGTGACATGACTATCCCCCATGAGGGATGCGCTCTCTCTCTCTCTCTGATGAGAGCATGTATCTTCTTTCAAAAAGATTTTTTTTTTTTGCTATAGGTTGTATGTGCTTGCTGGAGAGACAGAAGAAAGAGAGAGAGACAGAAAGTGAGAAATCACCCCCCCCACCAGGGGTGATGGCCACACTGCAATCCCTTCTCCTCCATTTTCTTCTTGGGATCCCAGGCACACACCCACATATGCTCAGTGTGAGTTTTAAGCCACCAGGTCCAGGATTTGAACCACAGTCAACTACGTGGGAGGCCAGCGACATAACCATTACACCATCTGCTGATCCCTAGGGTGTCCCGGCCCGCAGGACAGTCGAACAGGTTTCCTGAGGGAAGGAGTGAGAGACGGGACGAACGGCGCACTGTCACAGCACAGAGATGATGCAGTGTCTCTTCAGGGTTGTCTCTTTATTGTAGGCAGCATGGAGACGACAGTGTTCAGGGTCATCTGGAGACGATGAAGCGTCACAGCTCAGGGTCGTCCGGAGACAACACAGCATCACAACTCAGGGTTGTCCAGAGATGGCACAGTGTCACAGCTCTTCAGGGTCTTCAGGGTCATCTGGCGATTATGGACCAGGGATTGTTGTTATATACACGTTGGTGGGCCATGATTGGTTGAATGAAGGATAGTAAAAGGTGGGTTATGATTGGTTGCTTTGTGGACCAATCATGAGGTACCCAGACATGCAAATCTGAGGGATTCTAAGCTCACTGATTTGCTATGGGAAGTGGCCAATCAGAGTGTGGTGTTGAAGGTGAGGTTTTTGAAGGGGAGCCAATTGTGGCCTTTGTAATTGTTTGCTCTCTGAGCCTAAGATGGCAATAGTAAGAGACTCATGAAAAATAGCCTCAGAC